GGAAATTTATAACTTATCTTAAACACCATTATAAACAGTTAAAATTGTTAGTAGGATTGGAGTATCACTTGTAGTTTAATGGTGAATTCTAGGTACAGTGGAGATGTAAAAGATTTGGAGATGCAGGAGGAAATGATTAATAATAGGACCCACAAATGAGAGGATGGAAGTCCAGGAGATTCCTTGGAATCTTGTTTTTATTATCTATGTTTGATATATGACTGTAAAATTTTAATCTGAAAAAACAAACAAATATTTTATTTTATTTTTTAAAAAGATAACTGGACCTCCAGCTATCCATCTGTCAGTTGTGTATGCAATATTTCTTCAAAATAGTCAATCTAGATTATTCAGTTATTCCGCCCTTTGCTGGACAATGTTTTTCCAGCCTTCCAACCAGTGCTCTCCAGTTCGTTTGCTTTCTTTTTCAATGCAGAAAGTTTAAAGAAGATTCTCCAGTTACTGCCTTCACAATTATAAAACATTCCCTCGTTATTCTTTGTCTCTTCCTCCATGTGCCTGCCCAATGTTGTTGGACTCCAACTCCCATCATCCCTGACCATGAACCATGCTGGCTGGGAATGATGGGAGTTGGAGTCCAACAGGATCTGGAGGGCACCACGTTGTCTAGCCTTGTTCTAGACCCATTGATCTCCATTACTTCCTTTGTATCTAATGGCTTCACAAATGGCTCTTTAAAATGTATTTAAAATCCTATGGACATTGATGAACAATTCAAAGGCACTATTTTAAAGATTTGCTATTCCATTTGTGCTGTTGTCTGTATATTTTTCATACAGCTTTAATGGTGTCTGTGTGTTAAAAGAAAAGAATGTGCACAGAAAAATTTAAGTGTGCTGATCTGCTTCTCATTTGCTGAATGACATCTATATACTCGGCTAGTTGCTAAAACTTGGGATTTAAAATGGCTTGGTTCTTACTGTAACAAAGAGCTAAAGATAACAAGCTTGATTTATGGGTTGTCTAACAGATTTTACTTTCCATTTACTCTTCCCATGTTCTCAGCAAGTAATTGTCTGTATATATCTAAGGTGGCCAGGGTCATTCCTCCAGATTTTGTTCTTTCTTTCATATGCAGATAATCTAGTTCTGCCTGTCTCATATACAGACTACATGGTAGTTTGTGCGTATGCAAAAATTGCGTTGTTTAAGTACTGCATGTCCCCAAGTATTTGTGGAAAAGGGACGGGGGGAAAGCAGCTGAAATGACTAGATATTTTTGGACTGTGCTTGTGTTTTTTAGTCAAGGGCAATGCGTACTTTCCAAAAGCTGGGATGCTATATGCCCCACTCAGAATTCCAAGTCACTCCTATCACACTTTCCATCAGCTCCAGCCGCACAAACTCCACTCCAGGGATCAGCAAACTTTTTCAGCAGGGAGCCGGTCCACTGTCCCTCAGACCTTGTGGGGGGCTGGACTATATTTTTTGGGGGGAAACGAACCAATTCCTATACCCACTAATAACCCAGAGATGCATTTTAAATAAAAGCACACATTTTACTCATGTAAAAACACCAGGCAGGCCCCACAAATAACCCAAAGGTGCATTTTAAATAAAAGGACACATTCTACTCATGTAAAAACACACTGATTCCCAGACCATCCGCGGGCTGGATTTAGAAGGTGATTGGGCCGGTTCTGGCCCCCGAGCCTTAATTTGCCTACCCATGCTCCACCCCCTCTTCTCCAGCTCAGCTCTGTTGTTGTTGTTGTTGTTGTTGTTGTTATGGCTGTTGTTGTAATATTAAATTTGTATACCACCCTATACCCACAGGTCTCAGGGCAGTTTACAGAATAAAATTACAATATAAAAACACATAATACATAATCAAAGTTAAAGAAAACAGCCCAATAACACCCCCTCCAAAAAACCCCCCCACACATATTGAATATCAATCAACCAAAGACCTTGTTAAAGAGGAACTTTTTGCCTGGTACCTAAAAGTATGTAATGAAGGTGCCAAGCAAACCTCCCTGGGGAGAGCATTCCACAGAGGGGGTGCCACTGCAGAAAAGGCCTGTTTGCGTGTTTCCACCTTCTGGACCTATCATAGGAGCCAACTCTTAAGGGAGGAGGGCCCTTCGCCCCCCAATAAAATATTTTAGGGGGCCAGGGCCTCCCAAAGTTGATGGGCGTTTCCATTCAAATGATGTGTGTGTGTGTGTGTGTGTGTGTGCCATGTCATGTGATTACTTATATGGGGTGCGGCTTACCTGCCCCCCCAATTTTTTATTCAAGTTGGTACCCCTGGATATAAAGCCATCCTATCAGCTATAATAGCTCAATGGACCCTCCACATTCAGAAGCGGTGCTATGGACAAGGGACAAGGGAAGGCTGTGACCTCAGAGCATTGCTTCTGACCTTCCAGAAGCATTTGGTGAATCACTGTTGAAAGCAGAATCCTGGGGCATGTGGTCCCCAGACTGAGTACAAAGCAGAAGTGGGGGTTGAGCCCCAACCCTTGGTGCTGCAATATCCATTTCACAGAAGACAAACTAGTGGTGCTGAAAAATGGAATCACAGAATGGTAGGGCTGGAGAGAACCGCAAGGGACATCTGGTCTTAGACAAGTGTTTTGCCCAAGGTCACAATCTGAGAACAAGGCCAATACATCAATTTATTTCAACCCCCCCACCCCCAAAAAATTGAACTTCCCAAATTTCCACCCCTCTGGTCCAAAATTCCTTATTAGCTGGCTTGACTTGTTGTTAGCTGCCCTGAGCCCGGCTTCGGCTGGGGAGGGCGGGATATAAATAAAATTTATTATTATTATTATTATTATTATTATTATTATTATTATCTATTATTTAGATCTATAAACATCTTTGAACACCTATCTAGCTCTGCTCTTAGGTCTGTGGATGGAGGTCTGGCTATTCGCTGTGGACACAACCCAGCCAAAGTCATGTTTACTCAGAATTAAATCCAACTGCACTCAGCCCAGCTGGGCTTACTTCCAGGTACATGAGCAACTTTCTGATCCTGCAACAGACTGGAAAAGATTTGTGGGTGGGGGTGGGCACAGGAGGCTGGAGGAAATGGCCAAAAAACAGGAACCCTTTCCTCTTCTATTTGTGGAGCATCCACTGGTTCAAAAGCCATTTTGTGAGCGCAGAGGCACAAACCGAATTCAACCCATTATGCAATACTTCTGAATAAATATACATGGAACTGATCTGGCAATCTTAGTATCCTGAGATTATCTCCATTTCTTCCTTCACATCTTCTCCATCTCTGTGTTGCGATAACACCACGCCAAATTGAAGTACATTAGTCTCCAGTCCAGGCATGGCTAATGGCTCCAGAAGCAAACACAGTGTGCTACAAGTTTAATTTAAGTACCAGTTTCCCTGTCTCCTGCAGAAAAAACAACAGTATATTGTTAAGACTATAGCTTCCCAATTATTGCATAGCATAGATTGTAGGGAAGAGAAGTGAATGAGCTTGTACTTACTTTTCACTCCATGATGTATGTACTCAGACAAATTTAACTCAAGAGTTTTTTTTAAAGGTCCTCGGTATTTCATAACTTTATATTTTTTCAGCATTTCCAAGTCTCTGCAATACCTTGAAGCTCCTTTATCTCTAGTTAGGCTGTTGCCAAATTGCTTCCATTTGTACATTATTCATATGAGGCAAAAGCTTTTAAATGTGTTTGACAAGACAACTTCTTAAGCAAAGTCATTAAGATAACAGACCTCTGCAGGGAAGAAAGTTATTCAGATTATACACAAAACCTCTTGTGCATATATACTGGAATGCGCCAATCTCCTCCCTTCCCAGCCTAGCTTTGTTTCTCAAATTGCTTGCACAGAGAGAGAGAGAGAGAGAGAGAGAGAATGTAACAAATCATCGCTTTGCTACAAGTAATGGATGTTTCTGTCAATGTGCAAACCCCAAACAGTTCTGCTCGCAGCCATAAAATACGAAAAATGGGAATGCAGCCCAAGGAATTATTTTTGCATTTTAAGCTCTAAGGTAATTTCTTTAAGAGATGCTAGATATTTATTTTAAAAAACAACAACACAGTTCCTTGTTTTTCTTTCCCAAGAATGGATATACTTTTCAAATGCATACATAAAGCAGTGCTTTGTTGATTTAGGGATTCTGAAGCCATTAAGGGATACGAATGTTATCATATATTTCTATGCTCCAGGTACATTTCTTCTTGTGTTTCAATACATTGTTTTGTAGTTACATGTACATATGTACTCTGTATACAGAAAGCTAGCATCTGCAATGTTTCTCATTTTTATGCCGAAAAATTCTAAATTCCTATTTGTTTGGAAAATATGCTTTATAAACAGCACATCAGAAATGGAATAACCCATGAAACATTTTTTCTTCTTCTAGTCAGCAATGAAAGTATCACCGGGGCTTTTATTTAGTCATTGAGGCAACTGACTGGCTACCTATGCATCTATTCCCCAAATAAACCCATTGATCAGCCTCAGAATCAGCTACATACAAGCTTCTCTCACTGACATACAGGGATAGGGCATTAAGTGATTCTCTCCTTGTGCTATCATTCAGGCAATGTAAATGGATGAGAATAGGATCATAGAATTTTAGACTTGGGAAAGACCACAAGGTTCACCCAGTCCAACTCCCTACAATGCAGGAATCTTTTGCCCAACAGGGGGCTTGAACCCACAACGACGAGATTAAGAGTGTCTTGCTCTACCAATTGTTATTGTGGCCTTTTGTCTCCACACCCCCAAACTGGTCCACCCTGATGGCCATATTAGGTCTTACGATTTGCAATCATGCTGTTGCTGTCTGTCGAGAAGGTGAGCACAGCGTTCCCATTTTACAAGCTATGAGGTACACTGTTGTCGATTTAACTGCTTCAAATAACAACAGAATGGCCTCAGAAATGAAGTCATGATGGGTATTACTTAAATGAAGGTGGAATAGCTCTTGATGCTCAAATCCAGTGGTCCCCCCACCCCGAACAGGGGTGGGGGGGGGGAAGAAGGGGAAGAAGAAACAGAAAAGGGCAACTACATAAACATGCATAAAAATGAACATACAGTCAGTGCATGTTTATGAAGTTGCCCTTTTCTGTTTGCTCTCCTCCTTCATTTATATTGAAATTAGATTTTAAGCTTCATGGAAGCAAAACCCTGCTTTTTGCAGTCACTTATGTCTTATATGGGATAGCTCTTTTGTAAGTTAAGAGCAGGGATGCGGGTGGTACTGTGGGTTAAACCACAGAGCCTAGGACTTGCCGATCAGAAGGTTGGCGGTTCAAATCCCTGCAACGGGGTGAGCTCCCGTTGCTCGGTCCCTGCTCCTGCCAACCTAGCAGTTCGAAAGCACGTCAAAGTGCAAGTGGATAAATAGGTACCGCTCCGGCGGGAAGGTAAACAGCGTTTCTGTGCACTGCTCTGGTTCGCCAGAAGCGGCTTAGTCATGCTGGCCACATGACCCGGAAGCTGTACGCCGGCTCCCTCGGCCAATAAAGCGAGATGAGTGCCGCAACCCCAGAGTCGGTCACGACTAGACCAGGGATCCCTTTACCTTTACTGCTTTGTGTTATGTTATGGTCTGGGTTGTGTGGGTTCATCAGCAAAGCACCCCAGAATTGATGGTCCTTCACTTGAACAGTCTGTGGATCACCTAGCCTTTTGCATCAAGGCACTGCTCATGTGTTCAGGTCCGAGGAACTTATTAAATTTCTGACCTGCTCTGTGCATCAGGTATATCCAATGTAGTACTCACCGGAAGCTGCTGGACTACAAATCCCATCATCCCTGACCATTGGCCATGCTGGCTGGGGCTGGTTGGAATACCCATTGACTACCCTTGCTCTATATACAGATTGTTTTCTTCTTTGCCTAGCCCAGCAGAATGTTGTTGTTGTTTTTTTTGCAGTGAACTCTCTTTTAACTCTCCCATATGCTTTCAGCAGCTCAGGCTCTGGGCTATTTGACATTTCCTGATGGCTCAGCAAGTCACTCAGAGAGTTCCAGGCATGTTCTTCATTGCTGTGATAGTAGGAGGCTTGGAGGGATGTTCTGGAAGCAGAGTTTGAGTGATGGCTAACATCTCAAAGCGGCTCATCTGCCAAGGCATAAATAGGGTGACATCCTGGATTCCAAACAAATAGGCACCATTGTGACTCAAGACTGATATGCAATTATAATCAGCTTATGCAGGGATTGGTAGTATTCATCATGTTGTTAGTATTGTAAAATTGTACCATTGTAGATAGGAGTCACACAGCTTGGGGGCCTGGTACCTTCACTTATTGTTTTCCTTGTGTTATGAGACATTTTCAGCAACACTTGATTAAAACTGCCAATTTGTTGGGTATAAAGGGAATCTCTCGACACCACCAGGACTAATTATGTTGTCCTTGCCAAAGGGGTAGTTGAATAATTGCATGCGATTATTGCACAGCTATGGTGCTTTTCATGGCAGTGGCAAATGCAAAGAAGATTGATTCCCTTTAATTACTCATTCAGAAATAACCCCCTCGAATCATTCCCCAAATGCAAGGAAGCATGTTCCTACATCGTTCTTCCAAAAGGCACCTGGACGCAGTGGGTTCCCTGATGAGATAGCATTGTGGTCTCCATGTGTCTAGCCTAGATAGGAAGGTCTGCTTTGTAATTGATTGCGGGCCCTTTATTCGTTAAGCAAAGTTCTGCACTTGCTGTATAATCTCAGCAGGCACACTCATAAGCACATAATAGAAAGCTCTGGTTTTTAAGGCCTGAATTCACTTTATCAAATGAAAAAAGGTCACACTGATTTGATATCATATTCCTGCTTGGCAGGGGGTTGGACTCGATGGCCCTTGTGGTCTCTTCCAACTCTATGATTCTATGATTCTAATATGTCTTTTTTGACATTGACAAACAAATTAATTTTGCACACTTCTTCATTGTAGTTTGCAAACAGGAGTTTTCCCCAATCTGGTGCCCTCTGGATATAGATTTATTACAACTCCCATCAGCCTTAATTCCTGAGTTATTTTGACTCAAATCTTTATTTAAGCCCTCTAAATATTTCCATTTCCTTGTACTAACCGTCTTGACTGCTAACAATAAAAATAGAATCAATTCTTTATCCAAACCATCTTCCTTTGGCCCATTCCATATCCTCAGTCATACTAATGAAGTGATTGGTGCCAAGTCTTGTTTTGCTATTAAATTAATTTCTAGGAGCACCCAAAAAGCTGCCACTGAGAGGACTATCCCATCAGAAGTGGAAAGACGAACCTTTATGGGTTTTTTTTTACAGCACTAGTATTTTGGGGATAGAGTAGGCTTAATTTGTGATCAAATCACTAGTGTATAGAATCACCTAATGATTATCATGAGTATATTCTTGAAACTTTGCTGAGATTGATTTCATAGACATCTTGTTCTACATTCTTTTCCATATTATAACCCAAATCATTCCCCAACATTTTTGCAATCATATTAGGTCACCTGTATCCAATGTTATTAATATTTTCTATATTTGGGCAATCTGTCCTTTGGCATTAACATTACGTGCCACAATCAAGTGTTCCAAAAATGTCAGTTCTCTTTTTACTTGCTGTTTAACTATACAGTGGTACCTCGGGTTACAGACGCTTCAGGTTACAGACTCTGCTAACCCAGAAATAGTACCTCGGGTTAAGAACTTTGCTTCAGGATGAGAACAGAAATCGCGCAGCTGCGGCGGCAGCAGGAGGCCCCATTGGCTAAAGTGGTACCTCAGGTTAAGAACAGTTTCCGGTTAAGAACGGACCTCCAGAACGAATTAAGTTCTTAACCCGAGGTACCACTGTATCTTATACTGTAAAGGAACTACTTTACCAAACTTCAAGCCAAGACTGCTCTTGTTCACATAAATATTTTCAAAAATTTTGCTTTGCTGTAGGCTGGTCATTATGATAGAAAACCCCAGTCCACTGGCCCTTCTTCTTCCTGTCCTCCTGTCCTGCTCTTCTTCCTGGGTTGTTCTTGTTGCTCCGGTGACTATCCCAGTTAATTACATCCATACTATGCAGAAGGAGCACAGTGAACTCCCAAACTAAATAGGGATACAATCTAACAAGAAGAAGAAGAAGAAGAAGAAGAGTTTGGATTTGATATCCCGCCTTTCACTCCCTTTAAGGAGTCTCAAAGCAGCTCACATTCTCCTTTCCCTTCCTCCCCCACAACAAACACTCTGTGAGGTGAGTGGGGCTGAGAGACTTCAAAGAAGTGTGACTGGCCCAAGGTCACCCAGCAGCTGCACGTGGAGGAGCGGAGACGCGAACCCGGTTCCCCAGATTACGAGACTACTGCTCTTAACCACTACACCACACTACAGAAGTTGTCATGCACAAAGTTCACATAAGCCAATGGGAATAGTACAATGGGGTCCTTCTGCAGTTTCCATGAAAGGGGCTCAGGAGAACATCACTGTGGATGGTGCCCAAAATATTTACTTCATTACATGGATTGGCAGTGCAGATTTACAAAAAGTCCTACTAAATCGGCCCATTCCAGATATTTCTTGCCATACAATGACAATCTCATGTGCACAGATATTAGAGTAGGAGCAGACTAGTGCTTTTCCTCCCCTCCTTCCTGTGGAATAAAGAAAATAATAAGACTGCTACACTGATAACTGCAGATACCGTGTTGAACTTGTTATTGGAAATGAATGCTTGACAATACCCATGTGATGCGAGAAGGAAAATAATGTGTTTCCTCAGCACAGACAGGCTTGCCAAATCATCTCTGTAGGGAACATATTTACTAGAAGGCAGCTCACAAAGGAGAGCCAGTAGCAAATGTAGATGTATACACTCTGCTGGGGTTTTAGAAACTGATCTACCTATTTTCTCCAAATGGCAGCTGTTTTCTCTTAACTGTATATTCATTTTCTTAAAACAAAAAAAGAGAGATCTATATGTGTGAAGCTAAAGCCAAGAATAAAACATACAGAGGACAGTCCATTGGGAAACTTTCCTTGCAAAAGCTCGACAGACTTCTTGTGCAGTTCTCAGTTCAAAGAGCAGGTATAAGTTGATTTTGGCCAACGGCTACTCTCCCCACTGCCTTGTAGCATACTGTAGAAGTGGTCATGTAGGGATGCCCAGGAATGTTGAATAAATACTATAGACAGAGAGATATTTTGCACTTCTAAGTGTGTTAACATGCACAAAATCAAACCTGAGCTTACGCTGTGAAAATTATAATGTTTGTGGCTAAAACAATTACCTCAAAATGTCCTGTTTATTTACGACAATCATTTACCCAGCTATTTAAAAATAACATCCAACTATACATATTGATTTCCAATTGATGGATATAATCTGCACTCTTAACAAAATGACAGACCGTCAAAAATCTCTCCGCAGAGACCTTTATAATGCCAGCTAAAATTTGCATTTCATCTCTCAGCCGGCTGTAAATGATTTAGCTTTCACATTTCAGCATCATTTAATTTTAATTTGGGCTCAGCCTCATGCAATTTCTAGAGCATTTTCCTCCCTCTCTCCCTTCTTCCAAATGTGCAGGACCAGCATTTAGTGTGTGTGTGGGGGGGGGAGGGACCTGTCAAAAACACCTAGTGCTTAAATGCACTGTTTGTGCAGCTACAAAAATGAGAGTCTTTCACCAGGGTCAAATTAAGGAGTCCTGCCAGTGAAGCCCCATTGCAAATGTAAATAAAAGTTAATTGTTTGCGTGCAGTTGCGACTGAAAGATTTCTGTGTAATGCATGGCACTGTGATTTTGGGCCAAGTTGCACAACAACAAAACTCAAGACTGTGCGGCCTGGTGAATGCACTCATTGTTAAACAGCCAAACCTGGAGAGCTCTTCAGGTGGAAAAACAAGAGTTAGCCTTCTGAGGCAGAGACAAAAGTCAAAGAAAATGACATTTAAATAAAGCCAGGAGTTAAGTGCTGTCATATTTCTGTGTACATTTAAAGGCACTCACAGAAAGATTTAATATGTAAACAGGGTAGATTCACACAACTATTTTTTTCAGCCATCGTCCCCATTGTCCTTTAGAATTGTGAACTGGCATTCAGGGCTGTCTTAAGCATATGCAGCGCTGGGGTGCAAAGAACCACCTGGCACA